GAATTCTGGAATCAAACCCCGTCCTCGTGTTCAACTACTCTCTGCAACTCAAGTCTGCTGACATATATGTCAAGCTAACTGGACAAACTGGTAGCAAAAATAGTAGAAGGGAAAGCCATCCACAAGGAGGTAAGTGGTCAGCTGGTAAGAGCGAAAAGGAACGGCATCATACCACCCTGTAGTGTTTGTTTTTAAAATGAAACGCAGCCATAAATAATTCTGGCTTCATAATTCGCAATCTCCAGAGACGTATAGGCTTTCAGAATGAGCCTATGTTGAATCAAATAAATGTAACCTTGGTGAAACATACACAGTTTCTCTCAAATAATATACAGTCCTTACAGTCACCAAACCATTGATCGGTACAGTACACATAAAAATTAGCAACATTACTACTTATCCCTGTCTCACAAACAGCTAATAATAATAACTGCATTTAGTACCTCTATAGAACTGGCAATGTTCAGACATTCCTCCATTCCAGGAATTTCCAGCTGAAGAACAAGCAGGTCCTTACATTTAATGGTGATTGTACCGGAGGATTGTCCAACAGCCCTGAATTAGACACATATGCACAACACCCCCACCCATTTTTAAGTACATGTTTTCTCACATTCTCCGATTCCATACTATCGTCCCCACTGGGGCCTCACAAGAGACGGAAGCAGGAAGCAAAAACAAGCCATGTGCATAAGACTAGCAGAGAAACAGTAACATCAACTGAAAGCTCTAAATATAACATTTAGCTCTATATATAACTTTTAATGTAAGCTAAGAGTACACCGCATTGGATCTCATTGGATTTAGAACATATACATAACTGTTTCTGGTTTGCATGAAACACAAAAAAGCATGGTCGGTTGTGCAAATGCTCATTGCAAAGCATAGATGATCTTGCAAAATATTCTGTTTTTCATCTCTGCCATAAGCGTTGATTGCCAGCGCAGCTCATTTTAGAAGTCGTCTTTTTATTCTCAAATGACGCTCAACTCCTTTGAAGCATTTCTGTATAATTTAACAGCAGAAGGCAAATCAGAATAAAACGGCGGCTTCAGTGAGCAATATAAGTCCACAAATCAAACACTGGGCCGGTTTTTGTACCTTGGGTATCCAAAAAGATTCTCGACACTGACACGCAGGAAAGGTGATGGGTAAAATTAGAGAAAGAAAGAATTAGAGTTAATTATTACAGAAGCAGATCACTTCATGGCTCAAAACACACACACACACACACACACACACACACACACACACACACACAAACACAATTGTCTTTGACGATCTGCTGTAATTATGATGTAAGACTTAAAGAAAAGATGCACAGAATAATTAGAATATGAATTATGCATTTACAAAGAACAGAAGTATTATTTTACTGTAATTAAAAGCAGAACATGTTTTAGCATTGATCAACAGTACATACAAATTCATGCGGTGCTTGAAACGAAGTAAAAATAATTGATCTTCAATCTAAGTTAAATCAGATCAAAATTCATGGTCGCACTTTAAAGTATCCATGCTTAATATGTACTTACAGTAAACTTACTTAAGAAAGTACAGTTATATAATAAGTAAATGGCTTAAGGTTATGTTCAGTGGTAGGTTTTGGGATAGTATCTATAGTTATCACCCAGTTTATCTCATGATAAGAACACAGGATGTAGGCTTAAGGCGAAAAAACACTCCTAAAATATTATTTAACACCACTAAATCCACCTAATTATATATATTTATCCCAACAAAGCCAAATTTATGAAATAGACCAGTAACAACAAGTTACATCTGCAGGTGCCACTATTTAAAGCTGCCGTAAGATGGTCTATATTGGTGTCTAAATGGGTTTTAAGCATTTTTTACTAGTTAGACATCAGTTAAGACCAGAGTGGCCTTGCAAGGAGAGCTTCATAAACCAGATAAAACCAACTAACCATCCTAAACTATTTTCTTGTTTAAGCTGTTTATCTTTTTTCCACTACTTGTGTACACGCATCCATTGTTAATAACCTAATAAATAACCATATTATAATAACCTAAAAAACTAAGCTCTGATGAGAGCATCAGTCTGTCTACCTTTTCTCAATGGCATCGATGTTCTTGAGGAGCAAGAGAAGTTGCCAGGAAGCTTCATCCTTTCTGTCGGAGAACAGAAGGTGGTGGCTGGTCACACACAGGGTTCCTCTGAGCGCTGGATGGAAAGGTCTTCTCAGGGTAACATCTTCAACATTAGCAGTCTTGATGTGCTCCGACGACAGCTCCATTTCTCTGCGACAGCAACCACCATCTGGTGTTTCTCACGCTTTGAGTTTAGAAAGCTGGTGAGCCACTGTACTATGTCTTCCGCAATTGACATTAACTATCCTGTAGAAATCTCTGCCCCAGCCCGTTATGTTACAGGGCTATATTATAAAACTCACCGGTATTTGGCAACTATAAACCGCCGACAGTGCGCGAGCAGCAGGAGGTGTGTCGGTCGTGCGCTTCATAAAGCCTGGTTAAGCGTTTGCCTCTACTTTCGTTTCCGTTCAGTATTTAAGCCCCAGCCCCTCCTCTGTTTTTTCAGGTTTTTCTTTTGTTATTACTGTTGTCTTGTGGCAATTTCTTTAGTCACACTTCCTGAAAGTTCAGATTATACTGATGCACAATCAAAAAAAAAAAAAAAAAAAAAAAAAAAAAAAAAAAAAAATCAAATGTAGTTAGCATATTTTACAACAGCCATCCTAATAAGTTGTGTATTATTTTTTTTAAGTATAGGCTATTACCTTTCATTTTTCCCTATTTTTTTATTTGTCTTAACCATAGAAAAGAAAAATCAATAGCACAGTTAATTTCAAGACGCTTAAATATATTTAGCCCAGTTTCCTGCATTTATACTGTTAAAAATATTATAAATTAAACTAAATAATACTAGGAAAACATTCTGTTTCTAATAGGCTATCACATTTGCCCTAGTAATTAGTCTTGTATTTATTTATTAATACATTTATTTTAGTAGCATTTTATTGTTGTTATGTTACGTCGCTTGTTTTTGTAATTATAATGATATATTTTATTTATTATTTTTGCATTGTTAGCATTTTTACACACTCCTTTTGCACATATAACCTACATTTTCATTTGGCTTTAAAAACTAAAAAAATTCAAATACTTCTCTTGCAATTTCTCAACATCAGCAGACGATGGAGACATTGTGTCAAAAAAGAAAGAACAAAGTTATCACAAAGTGACTGTTTTTAAATCTCATGTAGCCCATTGTTTTTGGATTTTCTTATTCATTTGCATTTAGTACTTAATCCGTTATTAATGTATAGCTTTTGGTACATTTTAATGCTATTTTAATTTAATCCAATTTTATCTGAGCAACAGATTTTATCTCATTATAATAATAAAATAATATATATATATATATTATATATATATATATATATATATATATATATATATATATATATATATATTATATATATATATATATATATTATATAATTATATAATTATATATAATTATTTCATCATATGAAAATAGTTTAAACACATTTTATACCCTAATTTAAGCAAACCCCCAGCATACATAAACTGACCGATTATAGCTAATTCACGGAAAAGCTCAATTTCTCAGCAACAGCACAAGATGGAGACATTCTGACATAAATCAATTTTAAGGAATTTCAAATTGGCATCGAAGCAATAGCTTACAAAGTCTATACTGTAGAGCTGATTAGAGAAGCTGTGCGCGTTTGAGCCAGAATGACCAAAGCCTAATTACGCTAAATATTCAGAACTTTGTCTCTCATCTTAATGCTTTTATCAAATCAGATGGTCTGGTGAAAACTGTCAATTTTTTAAACCACGCACCTGTGTGGTTTTTACGTGTGAAGTTAAACGTGTTACTGACCCTGTGACACTTGAAAATTTCCACATAAAATTGTCTTCAGCAGTGGGTTTTAAGTGCGAGTTTAAACCGATGTATTCCTGACCCTGTGACTCCACAGTAGCTCCACAAGAGCACGAAATGTTGCGTCTAGCCGCAACATTCAAGTTCAGACGGTCTAAATTTCTCTGTTATTAGTCTGCATAACATGGGCGGTCACTTTTCTGTCTATATAAACACTAGCAGAGCACACCTCTTGAGATTAATGACCGGAGTGCGCACATGATCATGCGCAGCGCACATGTCTGAGCAGCACAGAGATGGAGTTCAGAGAACTGGGAGCGGATGAGGGCTCTGAGGGAGATACGGAGGATCTGGATAGTGTCAAAGCCCTGACCGAGAAACTCAAACTCCAGACACGCAGACCGTCCTACCTGGAGTGGAAGGAGCGACTGCAGTCTCAGCCGTGGACTGATGGAGCTGCGCACGGTTCAAATGTCGGCAGCCCGGGCTCTGTGGAGAAGGACAGCCAAATGTCAGACATCTGGAAAGATGGCATGCCTTATAAGAACATATGTGGATTTGACACTATAGACGACGCGTTAGAGTGGCTCAGAAGCGAACTGGTATTGTATTTATGTTTCTTTTGTTTTTACTTGAAACTTTTTGACAAAGTAGTTCACCCAAAACTGAGGATTCTGTCATCATTTACTCACACTTTAATCTTTCAAAACTTGTTTGTATCTGTTGAACACTAAAGAAGATATTTTGAATAAAGCTGAAAAACCTGTAACCACTGGTATCCTTAGTAGCCTATTTGGTTTTTCCCACTATGGAAGTTGATGGTTACAGGTTTTCAGCTTTTTTTCAAAGCATCTTCTTTATTGTTTAACAGAAGAATAAAACACAGAAAAGTTTAGAACAACCTGAGGAAGAATAAATAGAGGGTAAATTATCCCTTTTTGGTTAATATATCTAATGTTGAATTAATTCTATCTATCTACTCTATATTGGGTATCAAATTTAGTAGACGGCCGTTGCCCTGCAGTTTAGTTCCGACCCTGCTTCAACACACTTACCTGTAGGTTTCAAACAAGCCCAAAGGACTCAATTAGTTTGATCAGGTGTGTTTTAATTGGGTAGGCACTAAGAGTTTGACACCTTTGATTTATATAACTAAGTCTGTCTGTCTGTCTGTCTATCAATCTATCTGCCTGTCATTTGTTCAAAATTTGGGTCATTTTGGAAACAATTTCTCATAATGGCAGGACTAAAAACTTGAGTATATTGTACAAAAACATACTGATAAGCAACTAATCCTGCAATATGAACAATAGTAAAAAAGAAAATTGAACAGCTTACTTTTACTCAAATCTATAAAAGTACAAGGTATTTTATTCCATAAACACTGTAAAAAATACTTTATGAAAAAATGCGGAAACTGACAATTAAATATTGAATCAAAAAATTACTTCCCAATGGTTTTAGATTAATTTTGCAAGGTTTATTTTGTAGAAATCTTCAATGTATTTGTTATTTTAATGTTTTTTCACAAAATTGCATAAATAAATAAAGAAATGTGGCAGTGTTTTAGTGTATCATTATCTAGTATATTTTATTCATTTTCTTTTGGGTCAACAGAGAATAAGCAATTTACTTTAGCAATGTAACAAGTTGCTTTAGCAATGTAAATTTCCCAATATACATTTTAAATGAGGTAAAACCAAAAGTGCATTCTGCAACAGTTTAAATTATTCAGTCGGGCCAATAAAATGATTGGGCAGATTTAGGGTTTTTTTAATTGTCTCAACACATTATTTCTCATTGAGCCAATGTTAACAGGCTTTTGCTACAATTGAAAAAAGTCAGTTTGAATATCATTTGGAACAATTGAAAAATTTAGATATGACCAGTTACTAAAAAAATTTGAGTTTGGGCAGTAATATTTTTTACAGTGATGGTCACTTGGTTTTTAAAAACACTTTTGATAATTTCATATAAAACATAGTCAGGGTTATTGCAATGAATAATGAATTTTTGGTCTTAAATTAAAAGATTTGTGTGTATTTAAACATAACTGTAAATGTGTCAAAACATGGCACCCTTTTCTCCTTCTTAATTAAATATATTTTACAGAATACAACAAAATGTTTTCCTCAAACAATTATAAATCACAACACAGAGGAATATAGACTTTTCAAATAGTATCTTGATGGAAATACTATAAAACACATACTTTAACAGATCAGCACTTGTCCAAAGCAGTTATTTGTATTTGTCTAAAGAGCCAGACTGTTGTAAAGCATTGCCAACTGATCATGAAATCTGGCATTGTGCGACAGGTGGCAGGACTCCATTCTCTTGGCATATTCCACTTAAATACCACACAGGTGCAGAAACTTGAGTGGGTGTTTGACAGAAAGTTGTGCCCAATTCCATGTGTGAAAGCTGACTAATTTAATCTTTTAATTAGTGCTGGTCTGCCAGAGCACAGTGAAATGTGCGCTAAACATCTCCCTCACTTTCATTCTCTTGTATTTGTCTTCAGAGGGAGATGCAGATGCAGGATAACCGTCTGGCGCGCCAGTTGATCCGCTTACGAGTGGAGATCCACAGGCTTAAGGTGGAGCAGGTGTGCCACCGCCACAAAGAGATGCTGGATGACGCCACGTATGAGCTGGAGGAGTGTGAGGAAGACTCAGACCTACTGTGTGACATCCCCATGAAAGCCGCCTTCACTCTTTCCACACCTCTCAAACATCTGGGTCTCACCAAGATGAACCTCAACTCCAGACGATTCTCACTCTGTTGAAAGATGAGGTTATGAGAGACTCAACTGAGTACACAACTTTTTATGCAGTGCAGACACTGGAAGCCAATTTTGGTGTTAAATTAGACTATTTTAAACAATATCATGGTAACATTTTTCAATAAGGTCCCATTAGTTATGTATTATAGGGATAGTTCACCCAAAAATGAAAATCTCCTCACCATTTAGACACACTTGATTGGTTCTAAACTTTCATGACTATCTTTCTTTTAAAACAAGAATGGGTGAATTATACCTTTATCTACATTGAACAGCATTAAGGGTGAAATGCTAAAAAGTAAAATAAAATTGTCCAACTGATGTAGAAGTAGTACACTTTCAAATGTCCCTACAACATGATTTAAGTTATACGATCTTTAGGTAAGATTGCAATACATGAAGTTACATTTTTTAGGCTTATCTGACTCATATAACATGCCTTATAACAGGAATTGTCTAAATGATTAAGATATCCAAATTACAAATTATTACTGATATTATCATCGTATTATAATCATGCCGTAATGCAAACTACTAAGTTTTGTCTTAAATTTAGCTGATTTGAATTTAACCTTTTGAAAATCTGAAATATTAGGCATATAAGAGTGATTCGTGCATATCTACTAGTGCACATTAATTAGTTCTGACTAGAATTACACCTACAGTTTCCTTCAGATTTTTGTCACTCATCCCTAGTTGCAGTGTTTATTAATCTTTGTTAGTTTACTATTCATAGTTTATGTCTATAACTCTTAAAAAATAATTTATTGGCATT